TGGCTCAGGGAGCTGTCTGGATGAGCCTTCTGCCCAGGCAAAGGAGGGGAACTGAGAGGCCCTTCTTTCTTCCATATTCTGACATTGAGAGTCCAAAGTAAATCCAGGTTGGCGTCATCTGCTTTGAAATTAAGGTATACGAAGGGGTTTCAAAATGTTCTTGAAGAAATGGAATTAAAAGATATTGGAATTTTTCCATGATCTTTTAACACCCCCCACCCTGGTATCTATTAAGCTATATGCTTTGGAGAGAGTAAAATGCATATATCTTAAATGTTACGTGCAATGAGCTTTGCCAAAATACATACACCCATGTACTTCTCCCAGTGACTTGAGTGAATTCGAACCCTTGGAGGTCCCATGCATGTCCGATCAGACTGAGCACCGTTGGGTTTCCAGTGGGTAGACCGCCAGGCCTTTCTTCTAAGGAGCGTCTGGGTAGACACAAGCCTCTCCAGCTTTTGTAACCAACACCTAAATCAAGATTGAGAGTATGTCTGTTAGATTTCTCCGGTGGGAAATACCTCGGTTCTTGGCTTCCCACGAGAAAGCATTCACGCTGAAGCCTAGTTTGTGATCCAAGTGAGTTTTTATAAAGGTCGGAAGAGGTTCAGGTTTACAGTCTCAAAGAGCACACGTTCCTATGGGGAGGCGTGCCAACCGGCGTGCAGGCCGGGCAGGGCTCACCACGGAAGCGGGCAACCTTGTGCGACTACATGCCCACACTTGGTGACCTTGCTGAGTGGGCAAAAGGACAGGAGCCACAGAGCGAAGAAGAAATAGGGGCCGGTGATCCAGCAGACCAGGTATTTGAGGCCCAGACTGGGAGGCGTGGTCGAAGGCATGGGTTGACCCCACTGACTGAATTAAGACCCCCTGGGCCTCGTTTAGGCAGCCCAGGTGTACTGCCCACCTGGCTCGGGCTTGAATTGGCGCATGCCCAGTAGGAGTTATGGCTGGCTAAGGCTCGCCTGATTCTCTTCCAACCTCCTGTAGGGGGCCTTCAGGCATGAAGAGGGACAACCCCCTGTCCCTGTCTCTTGCTGCCTAACATTACCATCACCCTGAGCATTCTCCGCATCACTTTCCTGTCAGGAACTCCACTGACACCACCAAGGGCAACCATTGTTCCAATTGTCATCACTTGAGTTTTGCCCTGTTCTAGTTGTAGGAAGAGGGAGAAAGATGAGGCTTTCTACTCCCATGAAGAGCTAGCTACGCCCTCAGATACCCACAGGGGCACTTCTACCCTGCCCTATAGGGTCACTGTGAGTCAGAATCAACTCA